GACTACAGAACCTAATCCTTTCCCCTCCCCGTTGGAGGGTTCGATGCAGTAAATCCTAGGGTAGACCATTTCTTTTTCTCTTGGTAGTCAGAGTAAGATACCGATGAGTATCTGATGTTTCTTAACAGTTCCCAAGTCTGTACAATATTAAGTGAGAGCTTGGTATAACTGTTTTTTAAAGTTTTAAAAAATTTGAGAAGTTTTTGTTCAGAATTTATTTTCCAAATACATTTAAGAATTTAATTTTATTAAATTAATTAAATTGTTTTAAATTTGAGAATTTAAAACATTTACAGATTTATAATGCTACAAGTATTTGAAAATATAGCCAAATATTCCCACAGTATACAGATTACCAATAGCAGGTTTGATGTCTTCAGCAGAGATCAAATATAAATATACACATATATACACATGCAAATAGACTCATGGTATATACATTTTTTTCACAGCTTATTTTCTTTGCAACTGAAAGGCTTGATATCTCTTAGTATATGTTCACCTCCTTCATCCTTTGCATTTTTATACACATTTTAGAATCAGCTTATTGATTTCTACAAAAAAGTTTATTAGGATTTTGATTGGGATTGCAGAGAATGTAATGATCAATTTAGGGAGAATATATATTTTTATGCTATTGAGTTTTCTAATTCATTAATATGATGTATGCTTTTATTAGGCTTTTAATGTCTCTAATATTTTATAGCTTTTTGTGTAGAGTTCTTCTACATGTCTCGTTAGACTTATTTCCAGTTACATGGCATTTTTTGATATTGTTTTAAGTGGTGTATTTTTCAAAACATTTAATTTTCTAATTGTTTATTGATATATAGACTTAAAAATATTCACTTTGTATCTAGTGACCTTGCTACAGTCATGTATTTGTTGTAATAGTTTATGTCTATATTCTTTTTGACTTTTTTACATACACAGTCAGACCTGCTGATGAAGACAGTTTTATTTCCTCATTTCCAATTATTACACCTTTAATTGCCTTATTTGTGTTGACTGGTCCTGCATACAGTGTTGAATAGAAATAGTAACAGTGACTGTCCTCTTCTTGTTCCTAATCTTAGTGATAAAATGTTTCGTATATCACCGATGTATATGATGTTTGCTATAGACACATTGTAGATGCTCTTTATCAGATTAAGGAAGTTCTCTTCTAGTCTTATTGTGTTAAGAATTTTTGTCATGAGTGGACTTTGAATTTTATCAGTTTTTCATATATAGAGATGATCATATGATTTTTTTTCCTTCATTGATTTTCTAATATTAAACCAATCTTGCATTCCTGGAATAATCCCCAACTGGTCGTGATGCTTCATCCTTTTTATGCATAATTGGATTTGATTTGCTTTGTATTTTTTAAAAAATATTTTTGTTTATATTAATGAGAAAGATTAGCATGTAATTTTCCTTTCATCTCATGTCTTTCTCAGGCTTTGCTATGATGCTGAGTTCAAAATGAATTCCCTCTTTGGAAGAGATTATTTATGATTGGTGTTTTTTTTTCAGATATTTGGACAGATTCACTGATAAAGTCATCAGGACCTGGTATTTCATTTGTGGGAAGTTTTTAATTACAGATTCACTTTAATAAATATAGGACTATTTAAATTTTTAACTTCTCTGCCAGTTTTTGTAGATTTTGCCTTGCTGTAAATTCATCTCTCATGTACAATTTCAAATTAGTTGGTATAACTTTTGTTGTGTAATATCCTTTTATGATGATTTGAATGTTTTGGTTGCTGATATTGATAATTTGTTTCTTTTCTTTTTTTCCTAATTAGTTTTTCTAGATATCTGTCAATGTTAGTGTTTTCAAAGAACCAATTTTTAGATTATAAGACTTGATTTACAGTAGCGGAAGTTCTTTAAGATTGACAGGGAGTTTCTTCTTAGTTTTTTCAATAGTTTTGAGAGTACAGGTAGGCTTTGGTGACATGGATGAGTTCTTTAGTGATGAAATATGAGATTTTAGTGCACCTGTCACCTGAGCAGTGTACACTGTATCCAATATGTAGTCTTTTATTTCTCAGCCCCTTCCAACCTCCCTCCACCAAGTCCACAGAGTCTGTTATATCACTTTGTATGTCTTTGTGTCCTCATAGCGTAGCTCCCACTTGTAAATGAGAATATGCGGTATTTGCTTTCCCATTCTTGAGTTTCTTCACTTAGAATAATGCCTTCCAGCTCCATCCAAGTTGCTGCAAAAGATATTATTTTATTCCTTTTAATAGCTAAGTGGTATTCCATGGTGTGTATATACGACATTTTCTTATCCACTTGTTGGTCAGTGCGTATTTAGGTTGGTTCCATGTCTTTGAGTTGCGAATTGTGCTGCTATAAACATGCATGTGGATGTGTCTTTTTCATATAATGACTTCTTTTCCTTTGAATGGATACCCAGTAGTGGGATTGCTGGATCGAATGGTAGATCTATTTTTAATTCTTTAAGGAACCTCCATACTGTTTTCTGTAGTGGTTGGACTAATTTACACTCCCACCAGCAGTGTAAAACTGCTCCCTTTTCACTACATCCATGCCAACATCTATTGTTTTTTGATTTTTAAATTATGACCATTCTTGCGGAAGGTGGTGTCTTATTGTGGTTTTAATTTGCATTTCCCAGATGATTAATGATGTTGAGCATTTTTGTTTTTCATGTGTTTGTTGGCTGTTTGTCTATCTTGTTTTGAGAACTGCCTATTTATGTCCTTTGTCCACTTTTTTATGTGTTTTTTTTTTTTCTTGCTGATTTGAGTTCCTTGTAGATTCTGGATACTAGTTTTTTTGTCAGATGCATAGTTTGCAGATATTTTCTTTGTGGGTTGTCTGTTTACTCTGTTGATTATTTCTTTTGCTGTGCAGAAGCTTTTTAGTTTGAGTAGGTTCCATTTATTTGTTTTTGTTTTTGTTGCATTTGCCTTTGGGTCTTACTCAGGAATTCTTTGCTTAAGCCTATGTTCAGGAGAGTTTTTTTCGATGTTATCTTGCGAAATTTTTAAGGTTTCAAGTCTTGGATTTAAGTATTTTATCCATCTTGAGTTTTTTTTTTTTGCGTAGAGATAGATGGGGACCCAGTTTCATTCTTCTACGTGTGGCTTGTTAGTTTTCCCATCACCATTTATTGAATAAGGTGTCTGTATTAATCCGTTTTTATGCTCCTGATAATGACATACCCAAGACTGGGCAATTTACAAAAGAAAGAGGTTTATTGGATTTACAGTTCCATGTAGCTGGGGAGGCCTCACAATCATGGTGGAAGGTGAAAGGCACTTCTCACATGGCAGCAGACAAAGAGAAGAGAGAATGCAAGCCAAGCAAAATGGGTTTCCCCTTATCAAACCATCAGATCTTGTGAGACTTTTTAACTACCATGAGAGCAGTATGGGGAAAACTGCCCGATGATTCAGTTATCTCCCACCAGGTCCCTCCCACAACACGTGGGAATTATGGAAGTACAATTCAAGATAAGATTTGGGTGGGGACACAGAGCCAAACCATATCAGTGGTTTTTTTTTTCCCAGCTTATGTTTTTGTATGCTTCGTTGAATACCATTTGGCTTTATTTCTGGGTTCTCTATTTTTTTTTTTCCATTGCTTATTTTTATTCCAGTATCATGCTGTTTTGGTAACTATAGCCCTGTAGTATAATTCAAAGTCCCATAATGTGATACTTAATATTGCTTTGGCTGTTCAGGCCTTCTTTTGGTTCCATGTGAATTTTAGGATTGTTTTTTCTAGTTCTTGGGGAAAATGATGATGATATTTTGATGGGAATTGCATTGAATCTGTAGATTGCTTTTGGCAGTACAGTCATTTTTACAATATTGATTCTTGTTATCTGTGAGCATGGCATGTGTTTCCATTTGTTTGTGTCATCTGTGACTTTTTTTTTTTTTTTTAAATTTTAGCAGTGCCTTGTAGTTTTTCTTGTAGAGATCTTTAATTTCCTTGGTTAAGTATATTCCTACGTATTTTATTTTTATTTTTTGCAGCTGTTGTAAAAGAGATTGAGTTCTTGATTTGATTCTCAGATTGGTTTTTGGTGTATGGCAGTGCTACTGATTTGTTTCATTGATTTTGTACCTGAGACCTTACTTTACTGAATTAGTTTATTAGATCTAGGAATCTTTTGTATGACGGGTTTTCTAGGTGTATGATTATAACATTGATGGATAGTCACAGTTTGTCGTCGTCTTTTCCAATCTGGATGCCCTTTATTTCTTTCTCTTGCCTGATTGCTCTGATTAGGTCTTCTAGTATTATGTCAGAGACAAGTGAAAGTGGGCATCCTTATCTTGTTCCAGTTCTAAGGGAGAATGCTTTAAACTTTTCCCCATTCAGTGTGATTTGATTGTGGGTTTGTCATATATGGCTTTTATTACTTTGAGGTAAGATGGGGCTTTTCTTTATTCTTTGTATTCTTATATGAATTTTGGAATCAGTTTGTCAATTTCCTTAAAAAAGTTATGGGATTTTGATTGTTATCTATAGTTTTTTTCTGTTGTGCATTTGCTTTCTATTTCATTAATTTCTGTTCATCTTTATTATGAGATTTTTGCTTTTCAAAGCATGATCAAATTTATTTGATGATTCTTTTAAAACATATGTGTTTGTTTGCTTGTGGTAGATAAGAAGCTCCTAATATTATTTTTTTCTTAAGTAATTGATACAAATTTGCTGAAAAAGGACACTCGAACACAGGGTATCCAAGGGACAGAGACTCTGTTAATAGAAATGTTTTTCTACAAGCACACATGAACCCACCACTCATGGATAGCAGTTTTCCCACAATGTGTCTTATTGTCCCAAACTGCTAATATTATTTTTCAAAATGTAGATTAAATGGAAAGGAGTTTACACTTTAGAAAGAGGAATTAGTAAAGAAGGGAAGGTATACATTTAAGAAAATTTAGTGCTTAATTCAGTGACTCTGACCCTGTGTCAGTGTTTAAAAATGCTAATTGGTGTGTTTATCCTTGCTTTTCTAGTGATATGCAGCTTTCGAGGATCTGTCCCTCAAGGATTGGTCTTAGAAATAGGAGAAACAGTCCAGATTCTTGAAAAATGTGAAGGTGAGTATGGACCTACAAAGCACATAAATTGTGATCATTTTTGGCAGTAATATATACATTTATTTTGTGCTAATAAGATTATAAGCAGTAATTCTGGAGCCATAATTAGTCACATGATGAAATAGTGTTATATAAAATTCTTTCTGATCTATGTTCAGCATAAAGGTGTGAGCTTTTTTGATTCTAATGTATTAGCAACAATTAGATAATTAATTTCTGGCTGTCAGAACATGTTTTTTACATATATTTATAGGGTACATGAGATACTTTGGTACAGACATACAATGTGTAATAATCACATGGTAAATGTAGTATCTATCACCTCAAGCATTTACTTTTTTTTGTGTTGCAAAAGTTCCAGTTGTACTCCCTCAATTATTCAAAAATGTGCAACAAATTATTGCTGACTGTAGTCACCCTATCGTGCTATCAAATACTGGATCTTACTCATTGTATCTAACTGTATTTTGTGCCCTCTTATTTATTTTTTACAAATAGGTAATCTACCCATGCTTAGCTGCCTTTGAATAGAACTACCTTATAGTCCATTCATTTGTGTGTTTCCATCTGATTCACTGGGCATCTTTAGTCCTAATTAAAACAAGCCCTTAAATATTTTTTGATTTTTATTTATAATTTTTTTTGAGAGGGAGTCTTGCTCTTGTTGCCCAGGCTGGAGTGCAATGGTGCAATCTTGGCTCACTGCAACCTCTGCCTTCTGGGTTCAAGTAATTCCCCTGCCTCAGCCTCCCTAGTAGCTGGGATTATAGGCACCCGCCACCACATCCAGCTAATTTTTGTAGTTTTAGTAGAGATGGGATATCACCATGTTGGCTAGGCTGGTCTTGAACTCCTGACCTCAGGTGATCCACCTGCATCAGCCTCCCAAAGTGCTGGGATTACAGGCGTGAGCCGCTGTACCCAGCCTAAATACATTTAAATGTAGTTTGGCTTGACTGCTATCCTCTTCTGTGGCATATATGGGTATTTCTACTGTAACATTTACACATTCTTGAGATGGATCATGTTCTCCAGAATCTGTACTTAAATCAATAAGATATGTGGGAAAAATAAATTTAGAGAGAAATTACACAAAATCAGAGTATTAACAAAAGCAAAATTGATGCCATGGGAAATAACTTGGGCAGCCTGGACTAGCAGTTCAGGATGGCTGCAAGCCGTCTCAGATGATATAATGAAGTAGAACTGTTGCAGTGTGGGTATAGAACCAATGTATATGGGAGTGGAGCTCTAATCTAGTTGGGTTACTGTTAAGAGGGGTATGGGGGGACATGTAACCTGCCATGACCCAGGAATCATATATATTGAGGAATGCACTTTTTCTGGAAAGTGAGCTACACCCGTTTAAAATTTTTTAAAGAACAGAAGTATAAATCAGCACCCTTTTATGATAACAACTCTAAGGAAACTGAGAATAGAAGGTAATTTTCTTTATCTAATAAAGGGTAGCTACTAAAATACCTGTAGCAAACATCATATTCAGTCATAAAATATTGAAAGAGTTTTCACTGAGATCTGAAAGTGAGACAATACCTACTGTCTTATTCTGTTTATTTGTTGTTATAAAGGAGTACTTGAGGCTGTATAATTTATAAAGAAAAGGCGTTTATTTGCCTCATGGTTCTGTAGGCTGTGACACCAACTTCTGCTTCTGGTGAGGGCCTCAGGAAGCTTCCACTCATGCCAAAAGTCAAAGAGAAGCCTGTACGTGCAGAGATCACATGGCAAGAGAGAAAGTAAGAGTGAGGGGCGGTGACAGGCTCTGTTTAAAATTTGTATTTTTTAATTGACAAATGATAATTGTATTCATGGGTACATAGTGATGTTTTGATACATATATAGTGATCAGATCAGGGTAACTAGAATATCCATTATCCTAAACATCATTTCTTTTGGTTGAGAAAGTTCAATATTTTGCTTCTAGCTTTTTGAAACTATATATTATTATTAATTATAGTCATATGGGATAGAACATTAGAACTCATTCTTTTTATCTAGTTGTAATTTTGTATCCTTTGACAAATCTCTTCAAATCCTCCCTTACCCTTCCCCTCCCAGTGTCCTTGGTTCAGGTTTTTTTTTTTTGTTAGCTTCCACGTATGAGTAAGAATATGAGGTGTTTAACTTTCTCCTTTTGGCTTATTTCACTTAACATAATGTCCTCTAGTTCCATTCACATTACTACGAATGGCAGGATTTCAGTATTTTTTTTATGGCAGAATAGTATTCCATTGTGTATATACAACATATTTTCTTCATCCATCTGTTATTTGACACTTAGGTTGATTCCATATCTTGAGTATCTTTATTGGTGACAGGGTCTCATTCTGTCAGCACGCTGCAGTGCAGTGGTGCCATCACAGCTCACTGTAGCCTCAACCTCCTTGGGTTCAGGTGATCTTCCCACCTCAGCCTCCTAAGTAACTGGGACTACAGGTGCACCATGTCACCAGGCCTGGCTAATTTTTGCATTTTCTGGTAGATACAGGGTTTTGCCATGTTGCCCAGGCAGGCTGGTCTTGAGCTCCTGGGCTCTGCCCACCCCAGCCTTCCAAAATGCTGAAATTAGAGGCATGAGCTAGCGCACTCAGCCATATAGTAGTTCTATTTGTAGTATTTTTTTTTTAATTGGAATATTTATTTATTTTAAGTTTTGATTTAGGTTCAGGGGTACATGTACATGTTGTTATATTTGTAAACTCATGTCACAGGGGTTTGTTGTACAGATTATCTCGTCACCCAGGTATTAAGCCTAGTATCCATTAGTTATTTTTCCTGATCCTCTCCCTCTTCCTACCCTCCATTTTCTGGTAGTCACCAGTGTCTGTTGTTGCCCTCTATGTGTCCATGTGTTCTCATCTTTTAGTTCCCAGTTGTAAGTGAGAATATGTGGTATTTGGTTTTCTGTTCCCATGTTAGTTTGCTAAGGATAATAGCCTCCAGCTCCATCCTTGTTCCTGCAGAGGACAGGATCTTGTGCTTTTCTCTGGCTGTATAGTATTCCATAGTGTATGTGTTCCACATTTTCTGTAGTCTGCCATTGATGGACATTTAGATTGATTCCATGTCTTTGCTATTGTGAATAGTGCTGCAGTGAACATACACATGCACATGTCTTTATGATAGAATGATTTATATTCCTCTGGGTATATATGCAATATTGGGATTGCTGGGTCGAATGGCAGTTCTGTTTTTAGGTCTTTGAGGAATTGCCACACTGTTTTTCACAATGGTTGAACTAATTTACACTCCTGCCAACAGTGTTTAAGCATTCCTCTGTCTCAGCAGTCTCACCAGTACCTGTTATTTTTTGAGGTTTTTGTTTTTTGCATGTAGCTTTTTTAAAAAAATTATTTTTAAGTTAAATTTTAAAATTTCAATGGGGTTTTTGGGAACAGGTGGTGTTTGGTTACATGAGTAAGTTCTTTAGTGGTGATTTCTGAGATTTTGGTGCACCCATCACCCGAGCAGTGTACACTGTACCCAATGTGCAGCCTTTTGTCTCTCACCCACCTCCCACTCCTCCCCCAACCAAGTCCCCAAAGTCCATTGTATCATGCTTATGCACTTGCATCCTCATAGCTTAGCTCCCACTTACAAGTGAGAACATACGATGTTTGGTATTTCATTCCTGAGTTACTTCACTTAGAATAATGGTCTCCAGTTCCATCCAGGTTGCTGTGAATGCCATGATTTTTTTTTTTTTTTTTAATGGCTGAATAGTCCATGGCATGTGTGTGTGTGTCTGTACCACCACATGTTTTCTTTATCCACTCATTGACTGATGGGCATTTGGGCTAGTTCCATATTTTTGCAATTGAGAATTGTGCTGTTATAAACGTGCATGTGCATGTGTCTTTTTTGTATAATGACTTGTTTTCCTCTGGGTAGATACCCAGTAGTGGGATTGCTGGATCGAATGGTAGATCTACTTTTTGTTCTTTAAGGAATCTCCACATGTTTTTCATAGTGGTTGTACCAGTCTATGTTCTCATCAGCAGTATAAAAGTATTCTCTTTTCACCACATCCGTGCCAGTATCTATTATTTTTTAATTTTTAAATTATGACCATTCTTGCAAGAGTAAGGTGGTATCTCATTGTGGTTTTAATTGCATTTCTCAGATGATTAATGATGTTTAGCATTTTTTCATGTGTTTGTTGGCCATTTGTATATCTTCTTGAGAAGATTCTCAATGGACAATTCTTGAGAATTGTGTATTCCTGTCCTTAACCCATTTTTTGATGTGATTATTTGTTTTTCTCTTCTTGATTTGTTTCACTTCCTTGTAGATTCTGGATATTAGTCCTTTGTTGGATGCATAGTTTGTGAAGATTTTCTCCCACTTTGTGGATTATCTGTTTACTCTCTGCTGATTATTTCTTCTGCTGTGCAGAAGCTTTTTAGTTTAAGTCCCATCAATTTATCTTTGTTTTTGTTTCATTTGCTTTTGTGTTTTTGGTTATGAAGTCTTTGCCTAAGCCAGTGTCTAGAAGGGGTTTTCCAATGTTACCTTGTAGAATTTTTATGGTTTCAGGTCTTAGATTTAAGTCTTTGATCCATCTTGAGTTGATTTTTTTTTTTTTTTTGAGATGGAGTCTCACTCCGTTGCCCAGACTGGAGTGCAATGGCATGATCTGGGCTCACTGCAACCTCTGCCTCACAAGTTTAAGCAATTCTCCTGTCTCAGCCTCCCGAGTAGCTGAGATTACAGGTGCCTGCCATCACGCCTGACTGATTTTTTTATTTTTAGTAGAGATGGGGTTTCACCATGTTGGCCAGGTTGCTCTTGAACTCCTGACCTCAAGTGACCCCCTGCCTCAGCCTCCCAAAGTGCTGGGATTACAGGCATGAGCCACTGCACCCGTCTTTGAGTTGATTTTTGTGTAAGGTGAGAGATGAGGATTCAGTTTCATTCTTTTACATGTGACTTGCCAGTTATCCTAGCACCATTTGTTGAATAGGGTGTGTCCTTTCCCC